TCTCCTGATAGTCTCGAAATATAAAAATCCTATCCAAAATGAATTAGGCCTCTCTAAATTTCATATGCCCCTTCATAGTGAAGTAGACTTTGACGCTATTCAACCTCGAATATCAACATAGAATGTAAGGTTTCTTACTTTATTGGCTCAAAAGCCCTTTTAAAGTATATAAGTTTTCCAAAGTGAATTAAGTAAAAGCCTTAACGGCGTCAATGAATGTTACTTCGAAGGGGTATTCGTCTAAAAGGTTGTGTGCGCCAACCAGTCTTCACTACTCATATTCATTGACCATCATAAAATCTTGAATAAGAGCTAAAGTCATTCTAGCTTGCGTAGGGTGTGGAAGGTATGAAAGTCGTGGACTGTAATCATCAACCGCCTTGCCGTTAATACCTTTGAGTTAGAGGGCAGAAGAAACTCCCTAGGCACATTTTTGTATGAATGGTGATTAGGTTAACTTGTATTTTATGATATGTTTTTACCCTATTTCGTTTAAGGTGGCAAAGCGACTGGTAATAAAATTTTCCCACAATAATATAAGTAAACGCTATATTTCTAATGAATTTTCCCTTAGTCTCGCTCTCCTAAAATCTATTCTCATCCAGGCAGAAGTAGACTGCAGTTTCGACCTCCACTAGGTCTCATCAACCGTATAATAGAATACATTTTGGGAAAGCAAGAATATACGAAATTCAGTAGTAATGTAAGATCTATTCATATTATTATGATAAAATTTAACTACCAGTCTCACTATCACCACACACGAAATAAGGGGAATAGGCTTTATATATTTATATATTTTATCTACTGGTTATCTAGAAAATCTTCTTATAAAAAGAAAATCTACATTATATTTTGTTTTTACAATTGACTGTATTACTAATATACACAAAAAGTAAGTTTTGAGACATTCGGTAAGTCTTAATTTTCTTTTATAAGCATGTTTTTAAAACCACCAGCAAGTCATTTGTATTACATTTATTCACCCTAATATGTTTAAGTTGATAAGGGGATTGTTAGTTGAATTTTTTCATAATCATATTTGGAGAATTTGCTTTTCACGGAACTTTGCTTTCCTAAAAGCCATTCTCCTCTCGGCCGTAATGGATTGCAGTTTCGACCTTACCCGACATGTTCTCGTCATCCTTCTCAGCGGAATTCAATCCGTGACAGTGCAGCGTATAATCGTCATTGACACTCTCATAGTTCGAGTCCCGCTGGGGGAGCTGATGAGACCAGGCTGCAATCCATTTCAGCTTTAGCGATAATCTCTCTTATGAAAGCAAGGCTATGTGAACTTGAATGGCAACTTAACGTGTATTCATATAAGTTTAGAAAACTTCAACAACCAGTCATCTTGTCATCTTAAACGAAGAAGGATGAATACAATTAATCTGAGATGTGTTCACCCTATTTCGTTTAAGGTGATGAAGGACTGGAGTAGAATTTTCCCACAATCATATGAGTAGTAGATGTGAATTTCAAGAAAGGCCATGTCACATTCTTTGGTGGGATTGCCGATGAAGCAAACGTATATTTTCTATGACAATCGACTATGTTAATTATTTTTCGTATGTAAGGAGAGTTTTGAGACTACCAGTAAATCGGTTATATGAGATGTATTCACCCTATTTCGTTAAAGATGATGAAGAACTGGGAGAAGAATTTTCCCACAATGATATGTGTAGAGCTGACGTCTCCATTGAATTTCACATAGCCTTGCTTTCCCAAAAGTTGTTCTCATCCAATGCTATGTGAAATTCAATGGAAAAGTCAGCTCTACTCACATCATTGTAGGACAATTCTACTACCAGTCCTTCATCACCTTAAAAGAAATTGGATGAATACCTCTCATATTACTGATTTACTGATAGGCTCAAAACTCTACTTACATACGAAAAATACAATGCATCTGACAGTAAGTCTGTCTATCAACTGCAGTCCAGCCACTTTTGGAGGTGAGGCTAAATGGGATTAAATGGGATTTTGGGTCGCACGTTATGCAACTCTATACCCAAACCCATTTGAGCTCTTTTTCCTCAGGAATGAGGTGATAAAGCAAACCATAACCGCCGATCAGTTGCCATGACTCAATTCCATTCTTCCTCGGCCTTTGGACAGATTTCCAAGCCCAAGCAGACGAGGAACGAAGCTGCGCCCGGAGGTTTCGCCCGGCTTCTGCAAGACCGGTCAGCTCGAGCCCTCTCCATCAGCTTCATGCCAGCCTGTCTGCGCTGCAGCAGTCCGATGCAACTACCCGTCGCATCTGCT